AAGTAATTGTAACATTACATTATAAATTTATAGTATGATTACTTAATTAATTATAACATTACATTATAAACATTAGTACAATATTTAATTAAATAATTAGAATTTTAATTAATTATAACATTATATTATACATGTATAGTATGATTACTTAATTAATTATAACATTATATTATAATTAAATAATTATTTAATTAATTACAATATTATTATATTACATTATAAACATTAACAATTTATAACATTAAATTAACAATTTACAGATGAATAATTGTTTGTCTCTTGGTTTTGATTGAGAAATTTTATGTGAATTATGATGAATCGATTGAATTCAAGTGTTGCCTAGAAATTAGAGGATTTATGAGTTACATTGGACGCAAATGAATGAGTAATCAAAATTTGTTAGGGGTGTATTTGTAAACTTTTAAGGTATTTTTGTCATTTTTTAAACTAATAGGGGGTAATTGATTTTTTATAGGGTACCCGGGAAAGGAACCGGAACCTGTATTTTAGGTTCCGGTTCCTTGAATTTAAGAACTGCATTGTGCGGTTTCGATTTCGGTTCCCCCGAAAAATGCAAGGTACCCAGAACCGCTCACCCCTAACCGCAATAATGAGTGCATTCTCATGAGGACGATATAGTCGTACCACGTCTTTTTTAGAGAAGGTAATCTTCTTTCTCTGCGCAACTTGTTATGTCGCGGCGCCGTATTTAGGGCACTCACGGGCTTATGCCGAGCCTCTTGAGCGTACTTCTCTTGGGCACCTCACGAGTTTCCTGCGATATGTGGTCCCCTAAAGATAGTCCCTACCAGATGGAAACCCTTGCAATCACGACGCTTCTTTCCATCGCCTCTTGATCCTTTTCTTGAGTGGAAGTTGGACCATCAACATACTCCTTGAAATGCCCCTTTTTGAATGAGGTCTTCAGTAGCCTGCTTAAGAGCTCGACATTCATCGATATGGTGCCCATTATCCTGATGATAACGGCAATACCTCTTGCTGTTTCTTTTAGAAGCTGGATTTTTCATGGGCTCGGGCTTTCCGAGCAGATTAGCTTCTTCTAACTTGTCCAGAATAGCTGAAACTGACGCATTGAGTGGAGTAAATAAATTCTGGTCACAATCATGATGAGGAACTTGGGCATAGGATTTCTTAGGCTCAAACCATTGTTTTTTTCCCTTCTCTGATCGTCATTAACTCATTTGCGATCAGATCTTCTACTACTCTCTCCCCGATTTTCCTCCCTCCGAATGTGAGTGCTAGTCGAAGGCCCAGGGTCATGGAGATTTAAAGCTGTCACTGAATTCTCTATTCTGAGATATTTTTCTATGAGGTTGTAGAAGCGAGTAAGGGAAATATTGTCCTTAGAGAGCAATTTCTTTCACAAGTCGGTTTGCGGATGAACTCTAGCAATAATCAGAGTTCAGATTGAATCTTCAGGTGTATTAGCCACCTTATTCAGCTCCTTGTGGAACCTTTCAATATAGGACTGGAGAGATTCATTGCTCTCTTGTTATATGTTGCTGAGGCAACTAACGACATTGAGAACTTCCGATTGGCCTGGAAGTGTCTTAGAAATAACAAACTCATCTACTGCCACAAGTTGATAGACCTCGGTGGAAGCGATCTGAACCAACATTTAGCTTGAGCAGTTAGAGTCACTGCTAAGTAGCGACATTTTGCAAGTTGGAAACTCAGTGGAGTTCCATGAGGTCGTTAAACTCATAGAGATAATCCTACAGATCAGAATTCCTATTAAATGCTCTCATGTCGGGCATTCTAAATCTTGATGGGAAGGAGCAGTCAGAACTGCTGGAGAAAAGGGAGACGCCTCAGTGACCTGCCCCCGCTCATTCTATTGAGCTTTAAGCTGATCCAGAGCTCGTTGTAACTATTCTATTTGAGGAAACGGAGCCCTTGGGGGATCACTTTCCCCAATATAGGTATGCTCCCTACAATTGCGATCAAGGAAAGCCCGCAGATTGGACTCTTCCTTGCCTTGGTTGGAGCCTTCAGCATACCTTGACACATGCTGCCTGGAGCCATGTGAAGGCACTAAATGGCTTAGGGAGTTCTTCCTACCTCCGCAGTGGTTAGAACTGACCCGTGGATGGTGAGTATTTCCCTCACGATGATGGTTGGAACCATCATTCCAACAGTAGTGGGAATCTCCTTACCGAAGACTCTTATGGGGGTGCCCTTGCGATGTGGCATGAGATAGCTCACGATGCGACATACCACCAAGTCGCAAACATACATGTATTATCCCTATTTCACGACCTGTATTCATTAGCCCTTTAGAGCCTTGTGCCCCCTTATCAACCACTTGCTTTCTTTTTTTTGCACACTATAGTGTGCGTGATATGAGCTTTTGCCCGTTTCCACGCTTTAGTGTGACCTATAGGCCTTCTTGGAGGCGGCCCCTCCTTATCAAAATTGGGCGACACGACCTGATCTAAATGATCTAACCTTTGGTTAACCATTTAGAAGGTGTTGTTAAACCTTTCTAGGTAATCCATTATAGCCGGATCTGGCTGAGAGGCCGAGAGGACGCCCACCACAGTACTTTGAGGAACTGGAGTTACTTTGGGTGGAGTAATCTCCTAAACTCGGGGGACTTTTCGTTATTAGTGCTACTATGCTCGGTTTCAAAACCTCGAGCCATAAGTTTGTAGGTAAAAATGATTGATGAGAAATACCAGATGAAGAGCTAATGTGAAATCTTGCCCTCCTTCTAGCACCAAACTATTGATGCATGATTTTGACACCAACAACCTCGTACATGTAAAGTGCTAAGAGAATCTTAGAAATTACACGTGAAATGATTTTTGAATTAGACTGAATGCAAAGACCGAATAATAAATAAGACAACATTTTTATAGTGGTTTGGATGCCTAAAGCGATTCCTTCATCCACTGTTTCTTTTATATAAATGTGTTACAAGAGGTCACATATAGCGAATAGCAAACAGAGGTACAATGACTGTATATTCAAAGAGAATAGTAAGCCAGTCTCTTTCTCATAAGTTGTCTTTACTATTGAATATTATGAAAATCAGAGAATTATCGATCCCGAGTTTGTGAGAGGGAGTCCTCTATTTATAGCTGTTGAATTCAAGGTAATGATTATAAATCTACAAATTGGTAGGTGCCTTGCAAGTTCTTCCTTGCCTTTCATTAGTTGATAACTTAGGAAATATCCTCAAACTATCTAAGGCTTGGACAAGTGTGCAGTCCCCATTCACTTGTAGACAAAACTTGAATCTGCTGGGTTGGTGATAACCATATCCTCTTTGTCTTAAGGCGACGTGACAACTCCTGGATAATGCAAAACCTTCCTAAACTTTGATTAGTACTTGCTGATGTAAACTTGCGTCAGCCCTGATTTTTAGGCATAACAATTTTAATCATTTGTTTGTAGAATAAAAGTTAATACCCAAGAATGCCTAAGAGAATCAGTCTCCAGTCATCAATTCCATTGTACAAAGCCAATTCTTCTACATTGAACAATCTCTAAAAGCAGAAGCAAAATCAATTCGAATTCGAATTCAAAATATATACAAAACTGAATATTTTATCTATACATATAAACAAAGTTTTCTTGAGACCTTTGAGATGCTATTATTTAATTGTTATTCATATTTAGGTGAATGTGAAGAAATTAACATGAATCTATATATTTTTTTAATTAGACCTTTAGATGCCTAATATGTGCTATTAATACTAATAAATAATAATTTACATATAAACAAAGTTTTCTTGAGACTTTTTGAATGCCACTATTTAATTGTTATTAATATTTAGGTGAATATAAAGGGTTAACATGAATCTATATATCTTTTAATTAGACATTTGGATGTTTAATATGTGCTATTAATACTAATAAATAGCAATTTACATATAAACAAAGTTTTCTTGAGACCTTTGGAATGTTATTATTAAATTATTATTAATATTTAGATAAATGTAAAGGGATTAATATGAATCTATATATCTTTTAATTAGACATTTGGATACCTAATATATGCTATTAGTACTACTAAATAACAATTCTAGAGCTACAATTGAAATCCTACATGAAATCTTACATGACAATCATATATTAATAGAGCTCCTAAGATTCTATGTAAAATCTTATATGGAGTCCAAATGGCGATCTCTAGAGAGGGTGAGCTTTAGGATTATATAAATATATAGATTAGAATATATTTAACATATAATTAATTGATTTTTAAAAAAAACGAGGTAATTTTTTCATCCGACGTCGTAGTGACTTTTGCAATAAAGGTATTGAAGCCAAACTTAATTTTCTGCTAACAGAAAATTGGTGTCAGACACAGGGACTCAGTTTTGCCAGTTTGGAAGCTGATACCGGCTGCGCAAAAAACGCTACACGTAAACCTGAAGCACAGAAAAAGTGTGTTTGGAAATTGGAAGTCGAAACACTATTTGTAACTCACCGTTGGTAAGTTCTTATGATTCCCTTTTCTCTGTTTATTTTTCTTTTACATTTTATTTAACCTTTTTGGTTCTTCTCCTCTAACGTTTCTGTGAAATTTTTAATTTTTTTTCCTGCATTGTAATTAGTGGTTCATACATTGTATTTGCCATCAGGGATTAGGGCTTGTGACTTAGAGCTTTTCTTCACGACACCACCATCATTAATGCTCGTTTGTTTCCCTGGAAAATGGTTCCCGGAAAAAGATCTTCCAGGATGAAGTTTATGTCTAATATAACTTGAACTAACGCTGGAAAAAGCCTGAATTTTGTGTGTTTTACGCCCTCTTTTCTCAGGTATTTATTATCAGTACGATCATTGATTTTACTGAAGTTTTCTTTTTTATGATGGTTGTTATTTCGTTTTCTTTTTAAACTACTATGACCTTTGTAGGCAAGGGGTAGGTTATTTTCTTCGATTTTGCTTCTCATATTAACTAAATCCCTAAACCAGGTGGAGTTTATTTCAGTGCCCTTCATAATTTTGACCTGAAATCAGTCTCTTTCTTCCTTTGTTACACAAAAATCTAAGGTATTGCTGTGGGAAGAGCAATCACCCAGTATTATAGATGGACCGTAAGGGTAAGGCTAAAGCTTGTTTAGAGTGTACTCAGAAATGCCTACTGGTTCACGGAAACAAGACAAGCTCATCACCTCTCGTTTCCTCTTTTTTCAAAGTCATGATCGGAGATCGTTATTCTGAAGCTTTGGTATGATTCATCATAATGTTTTTTCCTGTTTAAGTTGGTTTATATGTTTATTGTCGTTTTTTATTTCCCCTTGTTTATTGATGAGGTCTTTTAATTCAATGTTTAGTTACTATTTGACATGTAGCAGGCTTTCATCAACTTTATTCTTTGTTTAATACTTGGTGATAATATAATATTTTGAAGAATAATGTGCAGTTTGTTGTGTTAAGTGTCAATTTGACACGCCCCACTATTTGATAATATAATACTTTTGGTCAGTTTAATTAATATCCCTATATTTATTTGGTAACAGTATGTCTCATTCTTATGAGAGATCTTTTTGATTTCATCTTGTTTAAAAATGCACACATCTGTTGTAACTGTGCCTTTTCTTCACAGTTCTTGCCTCCTAAATTTGCTCCTAGAGTTTCTGAATTGATTGGTCAAAAAGTCCTTCTTGAGGATTCAATTGAGCAGAGATGGGAAGTAACACTATGCAATCTGAGTGGTTCTTTTGCTTTTCGACAAGGATGGAATGCATTTTCATTGCACCACGGGCTAGAAATTGGAGATTTTGTTACATTCCATTATATCATAGGATCACACTTTGTTGTAAAGATCTACACTAAAACTGGATGCGAGAAGCTGGATTTTCCTGACAGAAATCAGAGGAGAAGATCTAGGACTACAAGAAAGTATTTTTCCAAAGATGGTCAATGCCACACAACTGACAGAGGTTCAATGAACAAACAGGGTTCAAGCGCCTCTGTTATTTCTGGGTCTGATGTACAAATTAGTCAAGGCCAACCTGAGGTGAATGATCTGGAAAAGGCAATTTCCAAATTTACTTCCGATTGTGGGAACTGCAAAGAAAGGCCTCAAGCTCTACCGAAATCAGAATACCTTGAAGAACCATATTACATAATTGATAGAGATTTGAGAGACATACAAGGAGAAGACAGAGGCCCTCTATTTGATCTGTCCTGCTTTGAGATGTTGGGAAACAACTGTAGTGCTGATAAAAGCAACAAAATCACAAACGGAGATGAAAGACATCCTTATTGTGCTGATATATCATTGAAATCTCAAATTGAAGATGTCTTAGTTAAAAAAGATCCAGTAGATAAAATGGTAGTGGACAGGGTTGTGGCTTCTGATGCATCTGACTTTGGTCTGATGGAGAATAATAATGATTTTCAAAAGATGGATAAAAAAGAAACTGTTTCTAAAAAAATTTGTTGCAACAGCAAGATTCCTGGGCATCTCTCATCTGCAACTGCCGTTGAACCCAAAAAAAATGCAAGGAACAGGTCTAATAGGTTAAATGGACCGTTCACAAGATGTCACATTGCTGAGGAAGGGAGCAAAGCCCAATCCAGTTAGTTGCTTCTCCCTTTTCTTGTATTCTTTCAAGTTTCAAGTGTGTATTATATGAGAACATTGTACAGTTGGTTTTTATTTATGTCTTTGTCATAAATTTTCTGCAGGATCACATGCAGAAATCGGTCAGGTAATGGCATCCCATAAGTATGAAGGTGGCCAGTTGAAATTTGCTGGAAATTTCAAGGAGTCCAGGATTCCAGTTTCCACCAGAATTCAGAATTGCCAATTGGGTAAGTGTGTCTTCATGGCTGCTTTTATATTCCTGCATTCTCATTCAACCAAAATGAACTGTATTTTGCTGAACAGGGGGCAGACTGAATATTGTTAAAAAAGAGCCAATAGAGATGACTCCAGAATTCTGCACTGATGGAGAGAAAATTCAAGACATATACGGTTCTAACTTTGCTTCTTTAACTTCATCTTGTTCATAGAGATTTGTCTCCTCATCTTTATGTTCTGATTCTGTTGTGTTCTGTCCAAATGTGTAATTACATGCAACGGAATGTAGGGAAGTTGCCACAGGTCGTCAAGGTGGAGAATGGCCAGAGTTCTGATGTCATGGTAAAAGAAAATCCAATTCAACTGGTGAAAAGTGAAACCCTGGATTTAGTTCCTATTTCTTCATCACCTGCAACAAGTATCTCTTGTGAAATAATAGCATCTGCCAATCAACCTTATCTTGTATGTTATGTACTTAACCATTTAGAGTTTAAATGATTTGAATCATTCATTTGGATTGCTGTTACTTATTTTCAAATTAATCCAAATTGTTCTGCATTGAATCATAATAAGTATATATCTTTCTTTTTTCACCCTTTGTCGAGCGCACTTTATACAAGTTGGACATTCAATCTGTATCTTTAAACAATGTATTGTTTCATCATTCATGCAGGAGTTGCCGACACGCTTGCCAACATCTTTAACGCAAGGAATTAAAAAGGAAGGGTAGGTGGTGGTTCTCCAGGATCCAGCTGGGAGAATGTGGCCAGTTCTCTACCAAGAAATATGTGAGTTTAAAATTCTGTCAAGTGGCTGGGAAAATTTTAGCAAGGCAAATAATATTAAACCGGGAGATAAGTGTGTTTTTGAACTTGAAAGCAAGCATGAGAGCATATATGGAGTCAATATTGTTAGAAAGTAAAATGAGCTCTGCAATTTTCAAGTGGATGTTTTAAATCACACATCTGTTTTTTGTGTATGTATAGATGTGAAAATTGTAAGATCAGTATCCTCAGGAGGTATTTTTTGTAGTAGTACTTGACCAAGCTATATAGCACTCATATGTGCAAATTTGAATGGAATTATGGTCCTTTTGGCTGATTGTTCTAACTCTTTCTGGCGCCATATGCCTTGAGATAAATACACATCTACTACTAAGATGTCATTCAAGCTTAAATTTAGGATACAGTTAGCACCGACTGAACCACAAATTTTGACTACTCTCCATGCAAATATATGTTTTGAGGTTTGACAGATATTATATTAAGACAATGTCTTACTAGTAAGCTATTCTATATGTAATATGTTATTAATTGGCATCAAATGCTTTTAGTATTAATTAATGTAACATTTCAACTTTAAAGTTTATCGAATAAGCAAATAAAAACATTTTTTCTCATAAATTAATAATAATGTTTTAATAATTACTTTCGTTTTATATCGAATTTTGAGTGTATAGACGTATATAACTAATTTGATAATCATATTTTCCGAAAATGTAGAAGATTTATTTAAAGTATAAATCTAACAGTAAAATTTGGTGACTTACCAATTATCCTATTAATAAAACAACAAATGATATTTCCTAATATATAATGTTAGACTATGCTAGTATGCTAGACTCGGATAGTCTATATCAAGTTTAACATTTAACTGTATGGTTTAACAGTCTAATTAAAGCAAGTTAGATCATATTAGATAATGCTAGACTTAACTATTTATGTCTTTGTTATTTTTATTAAGGGCAATTAAGTTAAGTCATGTAATTTTACGATTAAATCTGTCATTTAAACAAAACCTTAATATTTTAAAATTAAAATTATTAAAGATGGTTATACATGAGAATATTTCTTGAATTTTATATCAATATTTTAAAATTGAATAATGTAATACTTCTATATGTATGATTGACAAACAAATAGACGTAAAATATACTGAGTGATACATTATCGTCATGTACAATTACACATTGTTCGAAATAAAAGATAATACAACTACTAGATAGGATGAACGCATGGTTAATGATAACCCAGGGCTATCTCAATCAAGAACATTTATAACCCTAGACAAAGTTACTTTGGGGCCCTTTTAATAATATAAATATATATTTAAAAATTATTTAAAATTTATTTTTCTTCCCTTTTGAGATGCAAAATCATTAATTAAATTTTTATATTCAAATTTAGAAACCAAATCTTTTTCAATTGATAATATAACCAAATTACCTAATCTTTCTTGTAAGGGTGAGAGGTGGACGGTGGGCTACCGGGGTCAGGTAAGTAAGGGGTTTCGGGGAGGGGGTTGAGGGGACGAAGATGGTGGTGTTGGGAAAGGTCAACAATAGCGGATACGTGTCAAAAATGGTTGTCGCACGCGTTGAAGAAAGAAAATGGGTTGCGAAAATCAGCAAAAATTAGCCAAATTGGGGGTTGTCAAGGTTGGGAAAACGTTTTGGAAATGATTAAGTGATAAATCTGGTTGATTTTGGTGAGAAAATTGATCGGAATCATTACTTTAATGCCGACAACGACACTATGGCGGTGTAGAGGGGTGGAGATGCAATGTTTTCATCATTTTAGGGATTGAATGGGTGTTTTGAAATTTTAGATATTTAAATAACTAGTTTAATTAATTTAGGAGTGTGACTGGAAAATATGAAACATTGTTTTTTGTTAATTTATGTAAAAAAATTATAATGAATTTGTGCCTTTTTGGCTTTTTCGGGGCCTTTTGGACCAGTTTGGATAAAAAATTATAAACTTTTTTAGGTCCAATGGTATTTCTGTAAATCTATGTAAAAAATCTTAAAATAATTTTGGGCCCTTTTTTGGGGCTTTTTTTTGGGGGGGCCTAGTGTGACGCCTCTCAAGCATTTCATCGAACACTTGGTGTGCGTCACCCGGACATTCTAGAAGCTTTCGGAATACTCTTGTACATGCTAGAATCTTATAATTAATGTGGTAGTTGATAGATAGTAGTTGGTAGGTGGTAGTTGGGAGTTAGCTAATCTCCACCGTTGATCTCGGACGATCTAGACCGTTCATTGTACATTCCAACTACTATAAAAGGGGGAGGCCTTCATTTGGCCAAACCATCCAAGAATTGTAAAGTTCTCTCAATTAGTAAAGATCTCTCTTCTAGCATATCTTGTGAGTTTGTGTGAGTGTTTTCTTACTTGCAGGGCTAGGAGCGTGAGCAAGCAAGGCTGACTTAGGGCAATCGTCGGGAGATTAGCAACTAAGGCCGAACGAGTCTGAAGGGAAGCAATCGGGTCGTTACACTAGGCAGGTGCCTCACCTGCCTACCCCTTGGGTCAGCCCTATGATATTCAGCTCGGAATGAGTTAGAAAAATGGAAATGGAGTGATGAGAAACGATTTTTAAAGTGGTTCGATAAATATGAATCAAGCTTACGTCCACTATTATATTATTGTTTTGTATTTGTTTTATATTCAAGGTGATTACAAGGTAGAAACACGTAATAACGAGCTAAAACTCTCTCTCAGTGTTTCATGTACTTGTATTAATTGTCCTTCAAAATGGAGGTGGATTTTCCCTTTTATACACACTATTTGACAGTGGTTAGGAGTGTTGTTACCGCCTATGGGATAGATTACACGCATAATCCTCGTAATCTGGATCTAAATCAGCTGCATCTATGCTTAAGTTTGAACACTCATGCTTAATACTGATAAGCTTGTTGGTCGTTGGAGAAGTTATTTATTGTGAGAGCGACACGTGGGATCAGTCTGATCGTTGGATCTCGATATGATGTATGGATAGATGGCACAAATCTGGCAGTTGAAAAGTATGCCAACACATACTATTGTAATTTATGGTAAGCGATTATTTCATTTAAATGAAATGACTTAATATTAAATACATCTATATATATCTATATATATATTAAAAATGGTGGGTCTTGCTAAACAAGGCCCAGAAAAATGGGCCTAGCCAACATACAATTCCCGAGTCCTGCATGAAGCCCTAATCTTGGAGTACTAAAAGTAAGAGTAAACGCTTTTCCCACCCAAGGTTTGCCTTAATAACAATTTCTCACTCAAAAAGTTTCAAAATATCAGTTTCCCACTGAAAGTTTGTATTCTGCTAATACTCAAAATACACTTTACTTTCTTAACTGACATTCGACAAGTTACCAAGAGCCAAGTTAAGAGGGATTTTGTATAGTACAGACTAGTGGGTCGAATGGTGGTGAGTGGTGACCGATTAGTTAAGAATAGGAAATTTTAACTTTGTGATGGTCGACAATCGATGAGAAATTAGGTGTCAGAGTGAGAGGGGTTTTGTAGAGAGGAGACCAGAGGTTTGAATGGTGGTAACGAAGAGCATTTTCACCATCAAAATCAGTTTTGTGTAGTAATGGAATATTAACTTTGGATGGAAAAGCGACATTTTGAAACTTTTTGGGTGGACATGATTAAGGCAAACCTTGGGTGGGAAAAAGTTATTTACTCTAAGAATAATAACAAAACTCTCAATTATCCCCCAACCACAAAATCATATATTATTTTAAAGTGAGTGGACCACCTACTCGTAACTGCTCAAGTGCTCAACTGGAGCCATTGAAATAAGTCAAAAAGGGCACCTTATAAAATTCAAATTTATCTTTTAGGCGAATAATTAATTAGCAGAATAAAAGTAAACCCAAAAAATAAAAAAAAATATTTCAACGTTCAAAACAAACTCATTTGAAGACCTATTCATTCATTCAATCTCTCTCCTTTTTAAGTGTTTAAGAGAGGAGAGACTGTTACTTCAAACAATTCAAAACCATTTTCAAGTCTCTTGTTTTGTTTTGTTCAACAAACAAGAAACTTTCTCTTTCGCTTCATATAAAAGATTACCTCGTTTATTGGCTCTTGAGTTGCATTTCTTCTCTTTCTTTTCAAAAATATTAGCATCAACAAGTTATTGAATCCCAGTTTCAAGTTAAAGAAATGATGGATTATCATGATCTTGGTGCTAGGTCCTCCTATGACTATGAGGACTCCCTACAAGGTTCGAGAATTCACGAAGAGTCGGACCCCCGGGAAGTCCACTCCGGATTATCAAAAACAAATATCCGATTCCACTAATTGCCGATTTGTTTGATCAACTTGGACAGGCCAAGTACTTTTCTAAGCTTGACTTGAGATCGGGGTATTACCAAGTGCGGATTGCGGAAGGGGATGAGCCGAAGACCGCATGTGTGACACGTTACGGAGCCTTCGAGTTCAAAGTCATGCCATTCGGCCTCACCAATGCCCATGCCACGTTTTGCACCCTCATGAACCACATTTTCCATCCATATCTTGATCGATTCGTGGTAGTTTATCTCGATGACATTGTGGTGTACAGCAACACTCTTGAGGAGCATGCCGAACACTTACGGACAGTTTTCCGAGTGTTGCAAGAGAATAAGCTATATGTCAAGCGGGAGAAGTGCTCATTTGCCAAGCCGGAGGTAGAGTTTCTCGGTCACAAGATTACGGATCGGAAGCTCATCATGGACAAAGCCAAGGTGAAGGCATTGCGGAGTGGGAAGCTCCAACAAAGGTTACTGAGTTACGCTCTTTTCTGGGGCTCGTGAACTATTATCGGAGATTCATTAAAGGCTATTCCACCATTGCCGCACCACTCACGGATTTGCTCAAGAAGGCCATAAAATGGGAGTAGACGGTTGATCGCCAACAAGCCTTTGACACTTTGAAAAGGGCCATCATGGAGGAGCCAGTGTTAGCATTGCCCGACCATGCTCAACCATTTGAGGTACATACTGACGCATCCGATTTTGCTATTGGAGGTGTTTTAATGCAGGAGGAACATCCGATCGCCTTTGAGAGCCGAAAGCTCAATGATACGGAGCGGCGATACACGGTGCAAGAGAAAGAGATGACAGCCGTGGTGCATTGTTTACGCACTTGGCGGCATTACTTACTTGGGTCCAAGTTTTTGGTAAAGACAGATAATGTGGCAACAAGCTACTTTCAGAGTCAGAAGAAGCTCAGTCCCAAGCAA